AAAAAGGTACATCGACCGAGAAGATCAACTTCACATTGTTCATCACAAATCAATACTTTAATAATGTCCTTCTACTCTTATACACACATATACCTGATGTGAAACCCCATCGAGTCTTTGAATAAAAAAATTGCTAATCGTAACTGGCTGGCGGTAGTAAAAGTACTATATCCTTCTGCACGCGAAGATATAAGCGGAGCATAAAGTATGTTTAGGCTTCAATACATCGCATGTAACACCGACATGTATGACGCTGAGGCTTTTATGATCTACAACATGATAGAGAAGCAATTACGGTCATCGTACGAGAACACTATGCCGCGATGAAACAACTAGAGGTCGTCACTCGGTCATGTCAAAATATAAAATTCTACGGTACAAGTACACTTCTATTTAACTACTTTTACTTTAATAAATCCTTACGCTGGTAAATTGCTTTAGCGAGAGATTCGCGACTTTTCCGATCGTGAGCGTCAAATACTTCTGTGATCTTACAATTATAAATAGGGTATCTCGACTCTGAATTGGATTCAATTCGTACCAAAGCGCTTCATAAGCGGCGTCGCCGATCATCTTACTCTAAAATAATTTTTGTTGTAAAACGGTGTATCATGTCTAATATACATGTCATATTACATACTGACTTTCGTAGTAAGATATTCTCCAAGAAAGCAAAATACAAATGCTTCCACATTGATTAGAATGTAAAAGAACACGGACTTTACTAGCATAGGCGTTCCGCCTGGGACACCAATGGACTAAAAATTTAAATATCTTATGTTTCGAATAAGTTATGTTGTTTCACTTGTACTTACGATCACAATGACAAATCCTAGGGAACAGAGGACCAAAGTGTTCGTCACAAATTGTACTAATGCTATACTCGAGAAGAGAGCCTCAATATTCTCGGAAAAAGAGATAATCTTCTGATGCCGAACGATTAGCATTTTTGCAATACTTTTGTTTACGTTTTGTTCGATGTCCTTCCGCGTGATTTCACTCAGTTTTTGCCGCATTATATCAATCTGTCCACACACATGAAGAACCTAAATCATCCAATTCAATTTAACATCTTGTATAGTAAAAACGTTATGTTTATCTTTTTTTTTTTTATTTAATATAAATGTGTTTAATTTCTTGATTTTTAAAAACTTAAGTTTCTAAAAGAAATTAACTAATAAAATTTCAACATATTTTAATAATTATTGTATTTTTATTTTTATTTATTTATCTGTATATATTTTTAGTAATCTTAAAAAAAGGTAGTAAAATTTAAAAAAAAGAATTTTATTTAATAATATATTTTATATAATAATGTATCTGTTTAATAATATATTTTTAAGACAAGTTAAGTCCTTAAATCATTTTTCATGATGTTAAATATAATTATTCTTCTTTCGTAATTTTTAGAAAAATTACGAAAAGACATACAGACTTACCAGTGTCAGCAGTAAGCAATATAGCACAGCCACTAAACTGGCCGTGCTTACTTGGTGAACGAACTGCGTAACGATAATGGTAAAATATACCGATGTGCTTTCAATTTTGAAAGGTAACTCCATCTTAAGAATAAGCTCTCGAGAATCGGTTTGATTGCTGCTTTCGTTCCTCAACAACGTGCCGATCGCATAGAACATCACCGACATCGCGTGCGAACCGATTATCAAATTGGAGAACCAGCGAGAGATGTAGGCCATTCTGTTCATCGTGCATTCGTTCGAAACATCGCGCTCCTTCCAATCCTCGACCATGTGTACTATGAGATCGTCCAGAAAACTATAATGAGTTATTCAAAAAATATATTGACCGACATGAAATTGCATTCGGGAAATATTACCGAAAATATACAAATCAATGCAGATTCGCAAATTAATTTTGCCAATTAATCAAAACATTTTTTTTCTTGCGATTATTAGTTTATTGAGATCAAGAATAAAGGATCAACGATGTGCTTATTTTATGGCTGTACTTGATTTTGTACTCGACGTACCTACATTGTGACAAAGAAGCTTACCGAACGTTAAATAAGATAATAATCATGTTGATGAGCAGAAGACTATAAGCCAGGGTTGCGCTCATCACGTCCATGAGGAGAAAAATGTTAGTCTCGGCGAAGTGCATGATCAAGTATCGATATTGAAAGGTCTGAAA